ATCAAATTCACAATAAAGCTAACAAAAACCACTTTTGATAGCTTAGATAATGTAAATTTCACACTTATTAGTTAGGGAAAATTTTATAGCTTCTTAATAATTTTGGATTAAACAAGTAAAAGTGTCACACAAACTACTTTTAAATAATTGAAAATATAGAATAACATAAAATAGGGTATGAAGTGTAAAATAATTGTTATATACCATAAATAATAAATAAGTTAATATGTATTTGCAATGTAAATACTTAAGCGCATGCTTGTATTAAACAGAATTTCATGGTATAACGATCAAGATTTTGGTCTCTCCGTCTTTAATAATATTCAATCTTTTCTCTTCAAAACGTTTTATAGTTTTCACTTGTAATCTACTTTCTATAACTAACCCAAAAAATCTCCAATCATTTATAGTATTGCTTTCCGGAAAGTCTAATTTTAATACTGATTTAAAGGTTATGAATATTATTACTTCGGAATCTCTAGTTATAGTTACAAAAAGACTTTACGATTTCACCATCTCCAAACCCAAAAAAATAAAAAATAAGAAAAATAGTACGATGTGTGTCGATAGCTTTTAAATTAGTTAATTCATATGGTATCAAAGAAGTGATGATTTTAAGTTTCAGTTTGATAATCGCTTATAAAAGAAAATGAATACAAAGTATTAAACAAAATAAATTAATTAAACTTATACGACTAGTGGAAAACAAAAAAATCAAAGAAGTTGGTGGCCGGTGCGAAAGGTCCTCGAGCAGAGGGTATACAAAGTCAATAAATGCTGCCAAATTCTTAGCATTTAAATAAGTAATTTATTTAAATATGACATATTTGAGAATAAAAGTCGATTTACCTTTTTTATAAGCTTAGCAAACATGTTCTAGGTTGAGGATCTAAGTACATCAACTTAATTAAATGTTGAATTATAAATTGAAATAAATAAATTTATTATATTTCAACATGTCCCTAGCCTTTTCATTTTTTGCGGACTTTACATTAATCTTTATTTTGTGCCAGAAGAGGTCCCTAGCCTTTTATAAATATGCAGATATGGTCTCTTTGGACGGAAACCATCCAAAACACCGTCAGTTAACCTGAAGAATTAAAAAATCAGGTATATTCCTTTTAATGAGGGGCAACTTCGTCCAATCAATATTTCTCATTTGATTTAAAAATTGAAAAGTAATCAATTATTTCCCACTCACCTATTCACGTTACACGGAGAGGAAGAGAAGCGGTCATTTTCTACAATGTTTGGTGAAGAAAGTCATGAATCTGATGACAATATTGAAGATTTTACTTGTCACATACGAGGCCCTCTTTCTGCTCCTATCTAAGGTGAGTATTTTTTTTTTTTTTTACAAATTTCTGAAAATAATGGGGCTCTTTGTTATGCACTGAGCTATGATGTGGTTTCTTTTACTGTAATATTGTATGTTTTTTTACCCTTTTATAGATTTGGGTGTACCATAAAATGTGCAATAGTTATGGGTTTACATTATGCATTCATGTACTGTGAGATTAGGATTTGGGCTTGATGATCATTTTGATTGAATTTGTTTTACAAGAGAAAATTTTACTTTTCTCACCATAAAACTATACCATGGTGGTATATTATTCGTCAAGATGCACAATTTTGTGTACGAGCATGGTAAGATAACATATCTTAATTATGTGAATTCGGATTGATTTAATAGATTTCTATTGGATAATGGATTGAAGATGTTAGGATACCTCCAAAAAATGAGGTATTTCTATAAGATTGAAAAGAAAAGATTTAGTAAGACATCGTTATGGTTGGTGAGGGATGTAGATCACATTTTCAGGAGCATAGTAAGTGTGGCATCCTACTTGACAATTTATGTGAGGCATTCATCTCTTTCATTGTTGTTGAAAGAGAAGCCAATTATATCATTGTTGCAAAAGATTAGACACCAACAAATGATGATGATGAATAAAAAAAGGAAGCAGCACAAAGATGGGATCGTGTTTTTGGTCATAGAATTATGACTATAATTGAAAAAAGTAAAGACAGATGCAAGATACTTGAGGGTATATTATGTCAGTAGTGAGAAGTTTGAGGTTAGCAATAGAGATGGTATGAGATCGGGTGTAGACTTGACAAGAAGGGAATGTGCATGTAGAAAATGACAACTTACTGGAATCTTCCTTCTCATGTGATCTATGGTATGCTTTCTAGGAACATTGGTATATATGAGTACATTGATGCATTCCAAGGAAGCTTATCTCAAGACTTACAGCCCAGTAATCCAACCAATATCAAGTCCTGAGTTATGGCTAGAAGTTGGTAGGCATCCTTTTGATCCACCCATAAAAAAGAAACAAGTTGGCAGACCAAAGAAGATGAGAAAAAGGTTACAAGTTGAACCTCCCGTAGGTACAAAAATGGCAAGAAACAGGTATGAAGATGACATGTAGAAGATGTGGATGAATAGGTCATAATAATATAACATGCACAACCTCATTGCCTACAGATGCAAGTTCCCAGCCAAGTTCACATCCAAATACTCGGCAACAATCACATCCAGCATCACAAGGCAAGAGAAAAAGCATCTATATCAAATCTTTTGACATTTTTGACAAATATGAACTTGAACTGGTCTTTTGATGATG